TTTGACCGCTTCCAGCAACAGCACAAGTACTGAAAGTGTGCACAAATTTTACAGCTAAGATTTATCAGCATTAGATGATTTTAGTTGCAGGATGCCAACACCACCTTTGCTCACACACAACAACCGTGAGTTTTTGGATTTCGAGAAATCCAATGAGGTGGACCAGCGAGCGGAGACATTTGGCACTGTGGAAGAGTTCCTCAAGAAATACGCGGATCCAAAATTGGCAACGCCGATTAAGACTGTATGTTTTGTAAATCCAACTGAGCGAGCCAGGGAAAGTCCTGACTCTGTTTTAGCCAACGCACACTGTCATAATTAACTTAGCAAAACTCACGGCAGTATTTTTGGAAAAAATGAATTCATGCAGCAAAACAGGTTTATTATTTCTAATGGTTGGGAACATACCGAAGCGGAGATAGGAAGAGGAAATGCATATGCAAAATAACTGGACTGCTCAAGTGCAAGCAAGTAATATGAAAAGATGACTTATTTAGCTCCGCAATGAAACACCATTTGTTCGCATACAAGTAATCATGAGTGTGGGGCCTGAAAAATTGGGAAATTTACCATCGAAATGACAGTTTCGCGAACAGTGGGAGTTTTAGAATGGGAATTGAGATTGTTTGATTCCCGAAATATTGGAAACAGCGTCTCCCCAGGTTGGTCCAGCAATCGAGGAGAAGAAGTATGCAAACGACTCATATTGCGTTTTCTTCCAGAAACCGTTGAAAATCAAAGGAGAGAGAGAGAGAGCTAAAGTGAAGTGCAGATCTGCTGGCGAAGTTGCTTTTACTAATGGATGGTGTACTGTGACACTGACCTACGCGGTGTGAAGTGTCTGCATCCAGGAATCATTCAACAGACAGCCATTGCTGTGGACTTACAGGACCGGGAATTGTTTTGAGTTCAAAAGCATGCTTGCAGCTACTGATTGCCAATAATGGAATGGCAGCATTCAAGTGCGTTATGTCAATCAGACGTTGGGCCCAGGAGACATTCAAGGATGATCGTCTCTTTAAATTCATCAACCTGACCACCGAGCAGGAGATCTCCTCAAATCCCGGTATACTGATATTTCTCAATTTTGAATTTCATCCTTTAAAAACATTTGGCTCAGATTGTTTCAGCTAGCACTATAAAACCTACGTTGCTCTTAAGCGTTTTTTCTCACCATTACAGCTTTGCATTGTTTGCTGCTAGGGCTGCCAAAATTTTAACTTTTAGCTTGCACCAGCATCGTTCAAAGCGGCAGTTCATTGAAGTATCGAGCACTTAGTTTTT